GTCATGAGACTTAAGGTCTCTTGGATTGAGGATATTGCGAGTCGGTTGACGGTCTAGGCTTATAGCCTTTGAGGCTTTGGCTTTGGGGTTTAGGTGATAATGATCGCATTTCTGGAAGCCTGGTAAATGCTGCGGCTCAGCTTCAGAATCAGCTAAGTGCCTTTGTTGGGGCCTTCTTTGGTTGGGGTTTCTGATTTACCTATAGTCTCCATTGTAGTTCCTGGTTTAACCAATTTTAAATTAAGGGTCCTAAAAGGTAACCCCAAAAAAGGAACTACAATGGAGACTATAGGTAATTTGGAAATCTTGGGCTTGATACTTGCTAGGGATTGTTTGAGTATGCTAACCTGGAGGTTCCTCCCAGATTTAGTAGAAAATCTTTGCTTTCCAGCGCCAGAAATAATCCGCATTTGTTGGGATCTGCGGGCCACCCGCCACCAACATCGCAAAACAGCCTTTCCTCCACACACACCAAAAAACAATGAAACGTAACAAATTCAACAATAACTCAACAGATCAGAGCCGCCTGAGACAAAACAAGCAACCCAGCAATCCAAACCTCCACCATGAAGAAGACAATAGAAACGATTAGCGTGTATACACAAACACTTTCCAGGCAGGTGAAGTCTTAGCAGCACTATAGTTGCGCAGCGCAGGTCTTGACCTGAAGACCTGGATTCTTTTCAACCAGGTCTATAAGTATTACAGCTAACTGCCCACAAGGCCTAAATCCTGAACCCTCAGCCCTGAACCCTAAACCCTGAACCCTACACCCTAAAGCCTGAACCCTAAACCCCTAAACCCCTAGACTCCTAAACCCCTAAACCCTGAACCCTAAACAGTGACCTGGTACCTCCTGAGTCCCCGAGGTGCATCCCCAAGTCCCATACTTGAAGGTTATTATAAGGTTTCTACAAGAGTTCTATAAGGAGGAAAGTTCATGGGACCTCGTAAGTAGAGTTATAAGTACCCTCACTTAGTTGCAGAGTTCATAAGCCCCAAACAGTGCACACTTAGAGTTCTGTAGTGGGTAGTATTAGCCCAAAAGTGTAAAGTGCATCCACTCAGCTCCTAAGCCCTAAGCTCAGTTACTAAGCCCCATGACCCTTGAAGTATCCTACAAAATCCTCGTGCCCAAGGATCCATCTTGACTTCGGCCTGAAACAAAACTTCCTATAAGGGGCCTGAATAATTAGAATAGGGTTTTGGGCATATTATACTGTAAACAGAGTAAGGAACCACCAAAATAGTATTGGTACTTATTTCGGCCCCTACCTGACTTGAGGCTCAATCTACGCACTCTTTGTGCACATGGACCTTAAGCGGGGCTTCCAGTTTCCAGAGCCTTGGCACTGTGGAAGCACAACTGTCCGGTGTTCCTGGGCTTTGAAGTAACCGGCGAGAAAAAGGTATAGATTTTTTCCATAACTGGTTCCCTTTAAGTATATAACAGGTCCCCAAAAAGTATTATAGTATGGTACTCCAAAGCCCAGGTTCGCGGAACAGGCGACGGTTCCTTTGCTGAAGCCACCTGGAGCTCGGGGCGTTCGGGCTTCAGTGTTTAGGCGCTTACGGTTCAGGAATTTAGGGTTTAGGGGTTTTGGGGTTTAAGGTTGAGAGGTTCAGGGGTTTAGGGTTGAGGGTACCCTAAACAGTGTATACTTTGGCCCTGAAGTAGTTCCCTTAAGTATTCTAGGGCCAAAGTATTTGGGCGCATTGACCCTTTACAGAAAAAACTCCATAAAGTTGGAAACTACATTCAGGTCAAATAGTGCTGGGATTCCCTAGACATTACTCTTAAGGACTGAGGCTATGGGGTTTCCAGCCTTTGGGCTTCTACTGCAAGTGAGGGACTTAAGAGGTTCCAAGAGTTTACGGCCAGTCTCGGGTCTAGGGGGGTTTGTAGAAGCGGAGACTTAACAATCAGAATAAGATGTTTGGGCGCAGTCTAGTACAGATATATTGAGAAACCCCACGGAGTAAGGAACTGTATTAAGTTACTAATTCCATATCAAGGTACGAGGTTTTGTGCTTCGGACGTCCCGAGGATTTAGAATTTAGAGTGTCGCGGCCGTGTGCGTGTAGGGTTTAGGGTTTAGCATCTGGGGTTTAGGGTAGGCTGATATCAACCGAAGCTGTGTCTGTTTGCGGTTTTCGGGCATAGGGTTGAGCGTCTTTTTGTCTACACATGCTGGACCCAGGGTTGAGGATTTGAGCTGTAGGGTCGCTATGTACAGCCACGAGCAGAAAAGAGTTGGTTCGGCACGGGCAAGATAGAACCTAAATGCTGTAAACGCAGTGACTCCCATGTCCCGTGACCCGGGATTCTGCACCACTATGATACACCTGAGCAACATGCGGAGTCTCTGATGGAAGTGTACATCACAGCTTCACATAGGTGTCCCGATGTTCAGGATTAAGGACACCTCGGGGGTCCTGACGCCAAGGATACTGCTTGCGTAGAGTCTCATTGTCTGAAAGTCCCGCCAAAAAAGCCTATTGCCTGTAGACGGATTGCTTTGATACTATCTGTTAGGGGTGGCGAGTAGTGGGGAAGTGGCGCAACCCAAACACCCAAGACCAGCTGAATTGAAGGGCTTTGGCAAGAGCTCATTACTCCCGAGGCCTTTGCTTGGGCAACTCTTTTGGTTTAAGGTTTAGGGTGTCAATGGGTCGAGGCGTATGGTTATTCATGAGTTTGACTCACATAGCCATAGGAGCCTTCATCATTAGAACAGGGTTTGGTACTATGCAATATGATTCGATTGAGGTAAACTAAAGAACAGTCTTGATAATTCTTCAGGCCGCTCTATTGACTATACCCCCACCCATATGAACAGAAACGAAACAAGGAATTCCGAAGGAGACTATAGACTATAGTTGCAGTGGGAGTGGCGAACTTGGATAGTCCGGATAGTCGTTCGAGAACTTCCGGGCGCTTTCCTGGACGAAGTTCACTGCCTCCATGGCTAGGGTTTAGGGTTTTGGGGTTTAGTCATAGGGAGCCATTAGGGGGGTAGGGGGAGGGGGGGGAGGGGACCAGCCTTACGAGGTCCTTATTATGGGCATTAAGGCCCCCTACCCCCCTCCCCCAACCTCCTATGATGTAGGGAAGTTTAGTGCCTCCATGTAACACGCCGAGAAAGCGCAGGCAGTATCACCTGGGTTTCGGGTCTGGGGTGCAACCCGATCAGAATCCGGATCCCTGAAGTCTAAGCCGGCCCTGAATCTTAAACTCTGTAAATGTCCGGAACTTAAACCCGAATTCATAAACTAATTCATAAACCTTGTACATCATAAGCGCTAATGTCGGCCAAACCTTAAACCGAAACCCTGCATAGCTGTATAGACAGCCTAGAGCCTGCAAAGCGTAGCCCTGCATTCCGAACTAATTATGCATCTTGAAACAACTACTGACGGGGGCCTTAAAACATAGAAGAACTAGAATTTTAGGGGACGGCATGCTATAAACATCGGGAAATTTAGGTCTAGCCATCCAGACCTCTATCAAACTGCATGCTAAACGGAGCAACTGGGCACCGAGGACTCCCACGAAGCAGATAGCACGTTGATGCAGCGTCTGGTCCTTGTAGTGGTGCGATCCTGACTTGCTTGTTGTGGTTTAGTGTTGAAGGTAATTATCGCCTTCCGGAATGGGTGATCGGGGGTCAGATTACGACTCCACCTCAATGCACAGGTATCCTAATCCCAAATTAAAGCCTAACATTGGGACACAAGTAGAAGTAAGATCAAGGTCATAGTACTCCGAAAACAAAAAGATTCAAGCTTTCCTGCTCAGCACCCAGGGCTCGATAATGCTTCCATTCGCATCGCAGAGCACGCCGGATACCTTCAGATCAAGTAGGACTGCAGGTACATCGGGGTTTGTGGTTGAACTACAGGGCTTAAGTCCATTGCGGCTGTGGGGTTTACCCATAGGCCACATAGTAGTTGCTTTTTGGGGTTCATATTTAGAATCCTAGAAAGCAACCCCCAAAAGGAACTACTATGGGGCCTGGGTCGGAATCATCAGTGATATGCTTGCTTGGGCTTCCTAGTTCCTAGTATGTATAGATCATTGTTGTGCACACAAACACTATACTCACTATACTGTTCTACATACAAACCCTGAACGCTAAACTTAAACCCTAAGCCCTAAACCCAATAAACGCTGAACCCCCAACCCCTAAACCCTACCAAAGCCCCTGTATCACACCGAAAGCCCGCCCAGAGCCAAAGCCTAAACCCACGCCGTAAGCCCTTACCGAACCCGTGAAAGCAAACCTTACCCCAAGGGTCGAAGTACCTAATAATCATATACTCTCCGAAATCCTAACCTACATAACTACTGTCGTGAAACCGAGTACCTAATTATTGGGTCCTTTGGACCCTTAGCCTTATTGAAAAGGAACCCTGAAAGGAACCGTTCAAGCTATCAACTGCCGAGACACGGAGCTGTGGGAGACTCGCTACCGGCGCTTCCGTCAGGCAGTAAGAACCTTACTGGTGCTTAGGGAGGGGTGTGGGAGAGTGGATCGCCAAAACAATCCCTATACAATCCCTTACAATAGTAGTCCCTTATAGTAATACAGGGGCCTGGGTATTATCAATACTATTTTAGGGGTTCCTTTTTCCAAGTATAGCACATTGAAAATCCTACTCTATGTTTTGTTAGGGCGCCTACATTAATCCCTTTCTTCCCTCCACTCTTCCTTAAGCACCAGCTAGGCACGCGCCAGGGCCAGCACTTCGATGCTTTGCTCCAGACTCGAATCTGCGGCTTCTTGCTTTACCTGGATCCCCAAGCTGGTTTGCGATTTAGGGTTTAGGGGTTTAAGGGTTAGGGTCCAGATGGGTTTAGGGTTCAGGGCCTGCGTAGGGTTCAGGACGTTCAGGATTAGGGTTCAGGGGGCCGCTAAACAAACCTGATAACTTGCAGAGCAACGAAAAACCGCACGCACGCAAAGTCAAACTAAAACCTATATGTAAACCTTAACCGCTCAGAAATAACGCAACAAATCAACGGGTTCGGCAAATTCTCTATAAGCGCTCAACAACGGGTCCAGAAGGCTACGTAAATTCGATCGGGTGGCTCCCGAGACATCGAACGTCAGCAATCGGTGCCGATTGCACTCCATCACCCAGTCTGGCCGGAGGGCGGTGTTCACGAAGTCTGCGTAAGCAGAAACCAACACCACATTCCTCAGAGACTCTTGGAGGCCCCTTCAATACTTTCACTACCTTTTGTCCCATCTTGACAACATGCGATACCCGAGTTGAGAAGAATGCTCAAGAAACGCCGAGATTCCGTAGTCCGTGGCGAAGCACGAAGTTTTGTAGCCCTGACGCCATCTTCATAGCCTTGCTGTGCCAATACCCTTCGGGTAGGGGAATGGCTAAAACTTCAGAACTATGCTGTTAACCCTAGCCTAATCCCAACATTTTATTGTAACCACAAAACAATGAAAGCTCAAGGAATAAGACTTGAGGGTCCTAAAAATTGCTAATTCCGTCTTCATAGCTGTTCCCCTGTCGACGAGCGAGGTAAAATTTTCCAAGACAATGGCCTGCGGCAAACCGCGGTTTAGGGTTTAGGAGTTTACCTAGCGTCTCCATTGCAGTTCCTTTTTACAGGATCCTACCCATAAAACTGGAAAACCAAAACAAGGAACTACATTGGAGACTCTAGGTAGGCTTTAGGATATAGTTGACCCAGAGCCTCCACAGAAGAAGGCGAGATCCTAAACCAAAATCTTATATGATGACAAACTCCTTACCAGGACCCCCCCCCCCCCCCAAAGGGCACTTTAATGGAGTCCTTATGGCCCTCAATAATGGGTATTTGGGGTACGTTAGAGGGTAGTTGGGGGGGTCTAGGTACAAACCCTTATAAACCCCAAACCTAGGCTCGAGTTCAAAAGGAAATGGCGCTTTAATTCTCAGCCCCGTCCTGCTCTCGAGGCAGCTCAAGGGCCAGTGCCAACACTCGAGCAACCTGGCGTTTGCAAGGGTTTAGGTTTACGGTTCAGGGGTTTTGCGGTTTAGAGTGTGGGGTTTAGGGTTGTTATAGGGCCTAGGGTTTAGTGTTTACTGCAAGTTGGATTGAGCGCATATTCTGATGGTTTTAGGAACTTTAGAAAGCTTTTGCGGATTTTCGTGGGGATTCACAAGGGCTTTCATCAGAGTGTTGTAGGCCTTCCAGAGGGTTTACGCATTGGGGTCACATGCGGCCGGGTTGTCCGATCATTGGGGGTGTGGTATTCAATCAGCTAATTACGTAGCTGATTAGGGACCCCTATAATGTGGACTTTGCTTGAATTTGCTGTCGACTTTTGGAACCTGCTTTTTTCTGCAGCGGCCCCACCTCAGCTCGAGCCTTCTCACCTCCACTCAGGGTGTTGTAGGGCTGCATGCAAGTCTTGAGGTCGAGGTTGGCAGCCTGTGATTGGAAACTGTCTCCCGAATTTGGCTCTTAAAATACATAGGTGGTTGTCAAAATGATGGTCCCTTTTTGGGTCCCTATTATAATACGGCACCTATTACTTAGGGCACCCAGAAGGGGACCTTAATTTTGACACCTACCCAAATAAGGTATCATTCCTTAACGACCCGAATATGATGCCGACTCTGGGAACCCTCACCCTCACTAAACCCACAACTCCACGCCCCAGACTTGACCCTAAACCCCAAACCTGAAGCCTAAACACCAAACTAGGCCCGAAACCACAAAAGAACACACACCCTAAACCCCCAAACCCTAAACCCCCACACACCCCTAAATCCTAAACCCCCAAGCCCTCCCTTGTTTAGGTCCCTAATACGGTCCTGGCAGAGCTCCTTGGCCAACTCGAGCGAACCAAAGTGAGCAATCACCGGGTCTGCGGACCATGCAACCACAGGAGGACACCCCCAATGGATGCGAGTGAAAGAGCTCTTCCTCGGTGACTTCAGGATTTAAGGTTTGGAGTTCAACGGTGTTTCGGGCTCAGGTCTCTTTAAAACAACGCTGGCGCCCACTTTGGGTGTGCGAGCACAGGATACTGATCAGAGACTGATGGTGGTGAGAATGCCATGGGTGTAGGGGACTCAGGTTCTGGTGGTAGATAACGAAGCGGTTGAGGCGGTGTTCTTCTCATAGCATAAAACCCTAAGCCGTAGCGACGGTGCTGGGTGCAGAGTCATCGCAGCGGCGCTCCTTTCGCTGGCGACTTCAATGGCGATGGGGCGCTTGGGCGATAGTGCTGGCTTGGGCGGTGATAAAGGCAGTAGCAGTAAGGGGTGCCACTAGTCATTGTCGTAGATAGAAACTGCTAACCTACTATTTGCTTAAGAAACCCCCCCCAAAAAAAATAATCCCTATATTACCCCCAATAAGGAATATATATATATATATATATATATATTTTTATTTTTTGGGGGTTCTTAAGCAAATAGTAGTAACTATACAGGAAATCTCCTTGGCAGGCCGAGCTTCCCATCTCCGACAACCACGCCGATGCTGAAGGTTTTCATCATTTCGACTGAATCCACACGGTGCACGCTGAGGCCGGTGAAGTGCCCGTCCAGCACTTTGGACGCTTTGACAACCTGGTTGTTGGCTTGATCTTATCAGTTCACCATTGTGAGACCCCGATAGAGACCGCAGGGGAGCTTAGGGTAAGGGACTATACTGCTCCGCAACAGGATGAGATTTACGAAGCGCTGAAACTCCTGAGGCATGGCGTGTGCATCTCAACGCTATCTGTTCTACCTCGCTCCACCTGCACTGTGGCTTCTTGACTTGTTTCACCACCTTTTTTAGCAGGATAACACGACAAGGAGCTGGAACGGAGCGTGCCCTCAACCCGACAACAGTTCATAGCCCCAGTTCATCAACCTTCAGTCCTAAATGCCTGAACCCACAATCGGCCCCCAGGATTCCCAAGCCTTATGGTAATTATGGCTCCTCTACGTGCACTCTAAGTGTTACTATAATAGACTCACAAAGGTTTGGGGATGGAGGTTGCGCGTGAGGCTTTAGGGTGTACGGGTCAGGGTTTGGGGGGTTAGCACTTGGGGGTTAAAGGGTACCGGGGCCCTACACCCTAGAAGCGAAAAGCCCTTACACACCCTATGCACAAGCCCTATAATTCAACCAAAAGTTGGGGAAATCCCCATACCCTAAGCCCTAAGCCCTACCATCAAGACAAGAAAACCTAGGAGGCACGCGAGTCCTGTGCCTGTGTACCCTGACCGCCTTGCTGCTGAGCGACCGTATCGGTAACGTTCACGAAAGATCCGATGTAGAGCCTGAAAGCGTTCAGCTGCAAATTCGGATGATGATATACATCCTGCATGACCCATAATAGGGAATATACCATAATTCTAGTAGTTTAGGGTCCTTAGGTAATGCAGGATTTTGTCCATCAGCCGTTCCGCCCTGTAGATCCTACCTGGACCCTTAAATGTCGATGCAGTGCATCCGATTGGATGACTTATTGTATGGTGAGGACCCATCATGAGAAACGGTAACCAAAAAGCACTACTTTCGAGGGTCCAGATAAACCCTGGGTGCCGAGGCTCCCGAGCTCTTTTCCAGATTTAAGGGCTAGGGTCGGCGCAAGGATATCTATCTATATATATATATGTTGAATGTTGGTCCAATGTTGCAGATGTGTACCTCAAACCCGCGAAATAATTAACATGTGCTATGCTCCAAATACCCTCTATTCAGGCCCGCAAGGCCTCTATTGAAGGGTGCTACCGGGGGTGCGGTATGCATGTCTGTATGTATGTATGCATGCACGTATGTATGTATGTAACTACTTAATTATGTGTGTATGCGTGTATGTACATATGTACGTGTCTATGCATGTGTGTGTATATACATATATATATATATATATATATATATATATATATATATATATATATATATATTATATATATATATATATTATATATATATATATATATGTATATATATATATGATGTATATGAACCAGAATCTGGGGTTTAGAGCCCTAGCAGCTTGGTCCTTAGGATATCGAGTTTTGGTTTCTGAGCTTTTATACTCTCATGCTTATAACGTAAAAGCATCTTCAATGAAACTTGAAAGGCCTTTGGGTTCCATGGCCCGTCGGGTTTAGGTCTGGCGCTGAGGGTTTGGGGATTGGCATGTTGGTTGCTCAACACGCTGGGCCATATGAGGCTCTCGTTTTAGGCACCTTAGGTTCTAAGTGTCCATTCCTTCAAGCAGGTACAGGGTATCTTACGTAGCTCCGGGGCAAGGCACAGAAGATGTGAAGGTTGCGAAAAAACTTCGCTCACATCAAGGAACGGGAGATGAGTCGAACCGAGTGGGCCTCTGCAGTTTGGCCTTCCTTTGACATTCTGTGGTTCCCTCCCTATCCTCGTGTTCGGGGTTGATGTTAGGTCGCGTGTTCTCTGAAAGTCCTGCCTAGTCATCCATGCTGCTCTGCTTGTATATGTTTGGTCCTGTGATTCTCCAAGCAAGATCCTAACCACCCATTCTCCCCTGAGGCCTTATCAAAGGTTTGTCCGTGTCCTTTGGTGTGCTTCCCTTCAAACTATGCTAACGAGCAAGTGTAACGGTCAGAATCCATTAACAAGGATATAGGTTAACCAAAAACTACGCTGGAGATGGAGAGTAAGGTACTGTAGCTAATGATCAAGTCCAGATTTTCGGCCTGCAGTTATACGGCTACGACCGTGGCGACGGTACCATTACATGTGAGGATCTGCTGAAATGAGTGCCACCCTGTTGCCGTATGGCAGCCGCCCGCACCCTTAACTTAACCCTCAAGGGTCCAAGTACCCAGTTACGATATACTCTCAAACATATAGTAACCTACAGTACCTAATTAGTGGGTCCTTTGGACCCTTAGGGTAAGGGTTAGGACTACAGGGACCCTCGGGTTTGAAAACGCTGTCAATAAGGTCCTTTCTAAGAGAGCTGGAAGTAGGGCTAAGAAGATTTTGTTTAAGGGGGTCCCCCTAATTCATAGGGACCCTTCGGGGAGCAGGCGGGAGAGGGGGTAGGGGGCCTTAATGCCCACAATAATCATAAGGCCCATTATAAGGAAGTGTAGTCCCCGCCCCCTCCGCCTTACCCCCCTAAGTGTCCCTACTGCTGATGGACAAAATCCTGCATTACCCATTATAAGGAATATACCATAGTTCCCATAGTTTAGACTCCTTAGGGTCATGCAGGATTTTGTCCATCAGCAGTATGACTAATCCTACTTCGGAAAACTCCGCACTCACACTGAGTTTTCGCGACAAGGTGCTGGTTGTTCGCCTTGGCCTCTGGGTCTGCTGCAATGTCGCTGTCCTGATGACAAGGCATGGGCTTGGGACTTAGGGCTTAGGATTTAGGGCTTGGGCTTAGGGCCTGGGGTTTAGGGCCTAGGATTTCGTGCTTAGGGTTTAAGGCTATTTAGGGCTTAGGGTGTGTGTGTGTGTGTGTGTAAACTCATCCGCAGTAGCACTGGAGGCTCTGCAGGCAGGCGACTCGGGGCAAGTCAGCCGACTTATACTAAAGAGCAAGACATCGCAACGGCCCCTCAACACAAGAGGGCGCAAGGGCTACGGCGAGCACCAAGACGCACTTTCTTGGTTGACTGTTGCGGAATCTCGGTATGCAGAGCGGAGACAGCAGCGGACGACTATGATCCATCACCATTCCAGAACAAGCGGGCTCGGATGTCGATGTCCTTGGCAAACCTTAGAACCAAGACGAAAAAGCAGGAAGAAGGAGGGCAAACCAGTATTGCCTTCGCTTCTTCGGACACAAGCTCCCGATCTTCTTGACGCCGAAGTGTTGCCAACTGCTGCCACCAGCCTTGGAAGGTGGGACATCGGCAGAGGACGTGCGGGAGGCCCGTCCTTATTCGTTTGCTGCAAAAAATGCAGTTCTGAATACTAGCACGGCTCAGGCGGCCATCCACATGCGTGAGGCGAATGATGCCGGCACGCAATCTGCAAAATGACCGAACAGCCTGTCTGTCCTCCCATCCCAGCGCTAGGGCGGGAATAAGATGCAGAAGGTCACTATGCTGAGGCTGCACCTCCAAGTACATCGGCAGCCTGGCGTGGCGCTGCGCCACTTCTCTCCAGCTAGGCAGCCCCAAGTCACGACAGCGTTGCCGAACGTACAAACGATACTGCTGAAGGTTACCACCCTGATGCTGCCAAGCCGGGAAATCAAGAATAAGAAGCTTTGATAAAATTGCAGAGCTGCGAGAGGCCCAAGAGTTTGGCCATGCATGAGCTAGCCGAAAAACTTGAGCGTAAAGGTCCTCGGAAGGCAGCGTCCACAGCCGGGCTCTTCGCATGGCCATGGCCATCACAGCAAGAAGGTGGCCGGAGATATCCCAGCCTAATTCGGAAAGGAGGAGCGAGGCATTATGCCAACAAGAGGCACCCAACAGCTGTCTTGCCCAAGAGACAAGAAGGTCGTCCAGCACTTCCTTTGCCGAATCTGCTGTTGCATTGATCCAGAGGCCAACAGAAACAGAAGCGAAAACCTTGGCCCAGAAGATGGAGCAGATGAGATGCAAGGGAAGAATATCACGCTGAGCCAACCCGACCAAGATGGCAAAGGATTTCTGAGCAATGGCAACCCGTACTGTCAATGCCGAGTCAAGCAGGAGGTTCGAAGGCCACAGGATGCCGAGCCACTTGTGGCTGGTTTTGAAGCCCAAGGACCGATCAGGCTGCAATCCTAGTCCAGGGAGCACTAAAGGTTCAGCAGCCTGGAGTTCCGCCGCACTTTTCCCTGTAACCATGGTTACAGTTTTCTTTTCACCGACGTGGAAGGCAGCTTTGTGGCGGAAAGCCCAGCGCGCAAGCAGGTTGAGACTTTGTTGAAGGGCCCCCCTGCTGCAACCAAGGAGCACCGGATCGTCTGCATGCAATTTTGCAGCGATTTTGAAAGTGGCACAATCGTTCAAAGCCTGAATAGCAGAGGCCTCGAGATCCGGGTTGTTGTCAAGGAGGTCATTTGATGGCAGAAGGACACTATTGTCATCATGCTGAAGGATACCCTTGAGCATGGAAACCAGTGCAGGGTTACTGTTACCATGACCAGACCATACACGACCCTGCCACAACTGCGGTATGCGCCAACCAACACCGAGACCACCACCAACAGCAAGGATTTCGCGAACCAGAGAGTCCAAAAGGACTGGATAGCCAAAGGGCCCGATGCAGCCTCCTTCAGGAATACCGCTGGTAACGATAGTGTCGCTGAAACCGCTATACCAAACAACAACGTGGTCCTCCTTTAAGATGTCACCTAAGAGGCCCAAGCAGTGGCCATTCACGTGAGGCCCATCTGCCAATGCACAAAGTAAGTCATGGCGGCAGACTCGAGGGAAGGCCTTTTGAAAATCCCCCATAACAAACCAAAGAGGCCGGTGTTGAAGGATGGCTTCAGCACTTACTTCGTGTAGAAGGAGATGTGCATCATCAACTCCACGGATGTACCCGCTTTGGC